GTAAGACTACTCCAACCTACTCAATGTCCTCCTTAGATGCCCACTCAAACAGAGATCTGCTTTACCTGATCATTAGTATTGTCTAGTGATGACTGTAGATAGGCTTCATGGTCATGCCCTCTGTGTTCTGATACATGCTGGTTCTCCAGGGTTAATTGTAGGGATGAGATACCCCACTCTGTGCTAAACCCAAGAGACATGGTAATTTTCAGTCCCAGATGCTCAGTGCTGAGATGTTAGGGATCTGACCAAGGATGCTATATATTTAATTCCTAGACAGGGTTTCCTTAGGCCGCTCACAGGTATGTCCATTTATTGGTTTTATCTACACAATATCTCATACAAGTTCCGATTTTTACGTGGCTGTGTGCTTCTATACACATTTCCCAATTTTTCTGTGTCTTTCATCATTTTAATGGTGATATGGAAAAAAGGAAAGCTAACACGCGAATAAAAAGAATCACGAGGATAATAATAACCACGAAATGGCGATCTCTCTCCTTTATGGTGTTTCTTTAACCCTTGAATTAAATATTTTTAAAATTCTATTTCTTTTTTTAAAATTCTGATCTGTAATTCTGTTCTATTCTTTTGGTCTATCCCTTCTTGGCCACTATAATGCTAATTTAATTTTTAGAGTTTCAAATATGTTACTGTTTGATAGCTCATTGGCCTTTGTTTGAAATAATTTATAGTAAAATTAGTTTTGAGATAAAATAATAAAGTGGGAGAACATTATCTTCCCAATGTTTAAGATTATTACATAGCTACAGTAGTAAAGACAAGATGTTACTGATGGAGGTGTAAACAAATGGGTCAGTGAAACAGAATAGAGGAAACCAACCAGACCTACACATATATGCTCAAATGATTTTTGACAAAGTTTAGAAAGCAATTGAAAGGAGAAAGACAGCATTTTCAATAAACGGTAGTCAAGAAATTGGACACCCATAGACTAAGAAAATTAATTTTATTCTAAGTCACACTTTATATAGCAATTAACTCAAAATGGATTGCAAACTTAAATGTAAAATTTTAGAAAAATTAGGGAAAAATAAACCAATCTTTGGAACCTAGGATTAGACAAAGAGGTCTTAGACTTGACACTGAAAACAAGAAAGGATTCATAAAGGAAGAAAAATCACTAAATTAGACTTTTTAAAAATTAAAATTTGTACTCTGTGAAAGATCCTGTTAAGAAAATTTTTTTAAATCTATAGACTTACACAAAATGTTTGCATCCAATATCCAACAAGTGGCTTGTATCTAAATAGCATAAAAAGAAAAATGCAACAGTAAAAATAAGCAAATATTTCAATTTATAAATAGTCAAAATTATGAATAAACATTTTTCCAGAGAAGACCTATATATAGAAAATAACTAATAAGCACATGAAAAGATCCTCATTAGGAAAATGCTATTTAAAATAACAATAAAACATTGCTACACATCTATCAGAATGACAATGATAGCCACTCTGGAAAACAGTTTGGCATTTTCTTAAAAAGCAAACATGCATATGCCATAAGATCAGCAATCATATTCTTAAATATTTATGCCAGAAATATAAAAACTTATGTTCACTGAAAATCCATACATTAATGTTTATAGATACTTCATTTATAGTAACCAAAGCCTAGAAACAAGTCGAATGTCTTTCAATGAATGAATGGTTAAGCAACTTTTGGTACATTTATACCATGGACTATTAGTCAGCAATGGAAATGAATTGTTGATATACTCAAAGATGGCTCTTATGAAATCTGAGTAAAAAAATCTAAAAAAATTACATATTGTATGATTCCACTAATATAACATTTTAAAAATAACACAGTTACAACATTGGAGAACAGATTAGTGGCTGACACCAGAGACTGGGAGTAAAAGGAGGTCATTGTGGCTATAGAGATGTAGCACAAGAGAGCCTTGTTGTGATGACAGTTCTTTCTCTCGATTATTGTGGTGGTCATTACATAAGGCTATACATGGAATAAATTGCATAAAAATACCCACACACTTACAGAGTTTGTAAAACTTGTAAGATCTGAGTAAGATTTGTGGATTGTACCAGTATCAATTTCCTGGTTCTGTTAGAGTACGATTGTTGTGCAAGGTATTATAGATACTGGGTTAAGGGTACACAGGGCCTCTCTGTATGTTATTTTGTAATTTCCTATGTATTTATAATCATTTCAGTATAAACATTTAAATAATCATAATACTTATAACCATTCTTGATTGTTTTTTCTGGTGAACTCTAAAATTACTCCATATATCCTATATAACACTTTGAATTATCTCTGGGTGGATTAAATATCAAATCCAAGCCCACAATCACCTTCCCATTCATGAGCTACCTTTGTCAGGAGAGAGAATTATACAAACTATTAATCAAAGAGACTTTGTGGTGAAAATTCTGATAGCTGTCTTTGATAATCATTTGATTAGAAATCCTCATTACTTAGCTTTTTGAAATTTCTTATACTGTGTCTGAAAGCTAAATGATAATTATGCATCTTTTATGTAATGAACACTTATATGGTGTTACCTGTATGCCAAAAACTGTGCTAGGCAATTTACAAATCTTCATTAAATCCTCATAATCACCCTATGGATTATCTCCCATTTAAAGGTGAAGAAACTGAGGCACTGGGAGGTTAAGAAGTGTGCTCAAGACCACACAATTCGTAGGAAATGAAACCAGGACACCATGGTAGACATAGGGCTTCAGAGGCTGTGCTCTCACTCACTACATTATGGTGATAATCAACATAAAATGTTTAGCACTTCACAAAAACATAAACATCTTTTTAAATTGGTTTAAACTGATGTAAAAATGAACATTCAAGAGCCCAGACAATATGGCAAGCTAATTCAGGTTGCTGTTTCCTCCTACAAACTTAACATTCCAGTTCTCACAAAAACAAAAGAGAATTCCATTTAAAACTATGAGGTTTATGGAGAGACAAAGACAACCAAATTTTGGGAGGGAAGAACAGCCCAGAAATGGATCCTGTAGGTAAAGGTGAGACCTTTTCTCTCTTGTTTATTCTTCTTTTCTCAACACTTTACACATTGATAGCTTAAGAGAAGATAGTGGAAATAATTTCCTTGCACAGTGACTGGGGTGTAGTAGCAGTTCAATAAATATTTAATGAATAAAAGAAAATACTGGGGAAAAAACAGGGTGAGAACAAAAATGATGACATGAGGTGGCCCATGAAGTAGATTCTGGCTGTGTCAGGTGATGAGACATGAGCACTTTGTGGCAATTCTTAGTGATTTCCCATTCTTCTTGTTGATCTTCCTCTCTGATTCCTTCAAGTGTTATGACTTCTTGACAGAGGAGTAGATGACTTGGAAGTCCTGGGAAAAACACACAGGAGTAAGGAGCTAAGTGATCAAGAGAAAGAACATGATGAAAGAAGGAGCTTAGAGATCTTTCAAAGAGTCTAGCTCACCTTGTTCTCCAGAAATGTCCTTCCAGTGTTTGCTGCAGAGGAAAAAAAATGTACTGAGCTCTTGGGTTCCTACTTAGGCTTCACTCTCAGACATTATGCCCTAGGACATAGAACTGATATGCTTAATGTGTGGAATTCCATTTTCTCCAGTCCTTCTGCAAAATCTTCTTTTAATGTTTCTCATTTTGAAGTCCCTTTAAGACTCCATCCATCTTCCAAGCCCTCCATCAACACATAACAAAGCCCTTCCTCTCTCATGGATCATTGACCTTATCATTTTTTTATTCCTTTTGGCTTCTCTATTACAATACTCTGTCAGGGCTCACTTTCCTGTCATTCTTCCATGTTCCTTAGCTAACCAACCACAGGTGTTCATCTCACTATCTAGAAGAAAACTGGAGGCATAGATAAGAGAGGACAGCTCCTGAGTCACACTGCAGTTTGAGTCTGGCTGCAGGAGCTACCCAGTGATGTCTGCCTCCTTTTCCCTTCTTGCCACGTATGCATAAGGACTGAATCTCCTTCTTTCTCCTAACTGCAGATGGATACCTAGAGGACTTGAAAGATGAACATCCAGTAAAGATGACTGTCTTTTTGATTCTGCTGCACTGATCACAGACAAAGAAAGAGAATGGTAAGGTAACCGGCACTCTATACAAACATGCAATGGCACAACTCTAAGCAAGATTAGCAGAGGAACCGATTTCAGAGGCTCAGAGGAGAGTAGCTAGATGACAACCAACAAGGAAATCATTTGAGCTACAGTCACTGGTCCATAAAGGACAGCTGGGAGCCCAGACCAAAAGCCAGCTTTTAGGGTTGCAGTTTCAAGGCCACTGAGGTGGAAGCTTGAAGAACTATCACCTCAGCTCCTGCAAAGTGATGTGTCAAAGTGGAAGTTCTCTAGATCAGGTTGATTCATTTGGCAATTCTAGTTATCCCGTCCCCAAACTGTAAGTCCTTTAAAAGAGGTGCCTCAATGATCCTCTTCAACTGAGAGAATTTCTCCTGGACTTCAGATGTTCCCTCTCTTGTTTAATATCCTCCCTTTGCCTTGTATCCGAGGTTCTCCCTGACTATCTAATCCCATTCAGATGCAGACTCATGGGGCCATCTGCCTATTGTGCATTTTATTTCAGTTTTTCCACAAGAGCCTGTCTCCAGGTATCTCTTCCTCCCTCTTGGATCTACAGATTTCATACCAAGGGCAAGTGATATATTGAAGCTTTTGTTGCATATAATACACCACTTTCCTGGGAGGATGCATCTGATAAGAACTACTTTGCAGTTTCTCACCTGAGTCTCCTGGCTGCTCGTTGCTCCAGACCTGGGAATAAACCACATCCACACCTACAGAGTCCACTGCAGGGGGAAAACCAGAGTTCACAGATGTTTGTAGTCAAGAGTTCAAACTTTACAGACATCTTCCCAGTCTCCTGCTTCGTGACAAAAAGCTTCATAACTATATCTTTCTCCCAATCCCAAAATGATTCTGAGGGAGTCATGTATTTATTGGGAGCGGCTGGGCCTTAGGGGTTGAATGGTTAGACCACCTCATGATCTTTTCTCCTGCCCCTTCTTCCCTGTCTGCCTCAGTTGCAGAGCCCTTCCCAGTGGGGAGACTCACCATTGACATACACTGGCTGCAGCTCCTCCATGGCTGGGAGTGGACTGGAGTGGGTGAACTCTTGAAGGTTGGGGCTGGAAGCACCTCTGTGAGAAAGTGAACTAACTGCATGACAGTCCCCAGGGCAGTGAGTGAAAGCAGAAAGAAGACAGGTTGGACAGAAAGCAGGTAGAAGCCAGGTAGGCATAACTCTCTGGTTGGATGGTTGGATGACCCTTTGTATAGACTCTGATGGCTTGGTAAAAAATGTCTGTTCTTCATCTTTGGCTTTTTTTTTTAAGTTATTGACCTTTTTTTTTCTCTTATAAACTCTCATAGAACTTCACCTCCTTTTTCTCATTACTTTATCTGTTCACTCTTCTTTACATTCTGCCCATCCCTATAAAACAGTGTGTCTCTTAAGGAAATAAACTGTATTTCATGCATACTTTCACTCTTCTAAATAGTTAACAAAAACTTACTCATCTATTATAAGGGTACTCAATAATCTTGAATAGATGAATTAGCAAATTAATTTAAACACATTTGATACTATACAAGGTAACACCTAGAGTCATGCCTACCCTAAGATAGTGTTCTGGTAGTATAAATGGAATGAAGTAGAGTCATGAGTATTATAGAAAGATATCATGTAATCAAATAGCCTTGAGTCCTATGCGCAGAGGAATAATAGGTATTTAAAACGGTGGATAGGCCAGTTGTGGTTCATGCTGGCAAGCATAGCACTTTGGAAGACTGTGGTGGGAGAATTGCTTAAGGCCAGGAATTCAAGACTAGCCTGGGCAACGTAGTGAGACTTCAACTCTATGAAAAATCAAAAAAATTAACCTGGCATAGTGGTGTATGCCCTGTAGTCTAGCTACTTGGGAAGTTGAGGTAGGAGGATGCTTGAGCCCAGGAGTTGGAGGTTGCAGTGAGCTATGCTTATGCAACTGCACTCCAGCCTATATGACAGAGTGAGGCCCTGTCTCTCCAACAAATAAACAAACAAACAAAAAACTGTGAATAAAGGAGTCCTTGAGACTTGAAATTTTTACTAGAAAGAGTTCTCACCTGGGTGCATTAGTGGCAGAACTTTCTCCTGAAAAGCAGATAAAAGAACATTCATGTCAGAGGAGGAAACTTTATCTCTTCAAGCTTTGACAGTACTTAACCAAATATAATCGACTGGTAAAATATAGGATATAGAATAGTAATCCAGTTGTATTCCATCTAAATGGCTACTTATTTAATCCAACACTAATTAGCTATTAATAGAATCGTTCATTCTTTTTTCCAACTAATTTGAAATGTCACTTCAAATGCCAACCCCGCATGGTTTGGTCACTGTTTCTGGAGTTTCTATTCTTTTCTACTGTCTCTATTCATGTTCCTGTACAAGGCTGGGGTATATTATTTTCAATTTGCCATTATCCTATTCTTTTCTGTTTTAAAATCTCTCCAGTGCTGTTTTAATTATTGTAAAATACAATGTATTTTAACTGTTGTTGGATTTAACAGAAGACTTTACTACTTTTCTGTTTGAGACTTTACATGATCATTCTTATTTTTTTCAATGCTTTGATATTTTCAACTCTAGTATATATCAGTGGTCTTGGCTTTAGACTTGATATTGACATTTATAATGCACACTAGACTGTCTCTTGCACCATTCAACTTTGCGGAGAGAAGTAGAACAGAAAGCACAGCATATCAGCATGAATATATCCGGTGTGTATTCAGAGGGAATCCTCATAGTGATCTAAGGGAAATTTTAATAGCTCAGGAAGTAAGGTCACAGAGATGGGTATAAATGGCTCAAATGCTTTATGCTTCTTAGAAATCAGTACCTCTTTTAACACCCCTGAGTGTGTGAGTGTAACTTCCAGAGGGCATCACTATAAGAAATGTGTTCAGTTTCAAGAATTGCACTGTACTTGAGGATACCCCATTTGTACTTCCCACCAGGCCCTTAAAATCCTGGTCAGAATCCTGCCAGTATAGATGCAGTTTACCAATCATGAAAAAAGATGCTAGTTACTCAGCCAGCTTCTCCACTTTATTAGGTTTCCCAGAAAACAGTGCTAGAAGACTATGCTGACTTTAGTTTCCCAAGGAGAAGGAAAAACTTTATAATTATCTTGTTTGGTCTTTGAGGAAAAAATAAACTCAAAATTTTCTACGAAAGCAAACTGTCATTCAAGCATAAGACAAAAATATTCAAATAAGTATGAAATCAGTGTACATGCTTCTAGCAACTCTTTCTTGAAGAAATTATTTTATTTTTATTTTTATTTTTACTTTTATTTTTTGAGTTGGAGTCTCACTCTGTCGCCCAGACTGGAGTGCAGTGGCCGCTCCCGGCCACCGCAGCCTCGACCTGCTGGGCTCCAGCGATCCTTCCGCCTCAGCCTTCCAAGTAGCCGGAATTACAGGCATGCGCTACCATGCCCGGCTGATTTTTTGATTTTATTGTAGAGATGAGGTCTCACCAAGTTGCCCAGGCGGGTCTTGAACCTGTGGGCTCAGGCAATCCACTCACCTCAGCCTCCCAAAGGCATGGGATTACAGGCTGAGCCACCAAGAAAATTATTTTTAAAAGGGGCTTTAACCGACTATCTAAGCATTCATGAATAATAATAAAAATTGATGACATGTTGGTTCACATAGAAAAAAATCTCAAAAACATTCCAAAAACAGTATACATGCTATAAATCATATTCTCTGATCACAATGAAACTGGTAATTCATAACAAAACTATGAAAAAAATCTAGATATGCCTATAACCTATACATTTAATGGAAGCAAGTCTAAAGCAATTGAATTCATGTATAAATGTATAAGAAAAAGGAAAACAAATTACTCACATATCTAATTTGTTCAATATAAGGCTAACAAAAACAGAAGACAGTAGCAAAGATAAAAAGCAGAGTGCTAGAATTAGAAAGCAAAATGTATAGACCAAATAATAATTCTAAGAGATAGAGGTCTTATCTTTCTAGATGATTATAATTCAAAGGGGTGGCTCCCAAGTCCTTGAGATAGACATTCCTGGATTGTAAAATTGACACAAATCTGGGAGATTTATATTTCAAAGAGGCAGAGAAAGAATTTACAATTGCAAGTTTTTTAAAGTATTTTATTCTCTAAAAAGACGAGAGGCCTATAGTCAAGCTGAAGAGATCATTAAGACCCTCTTGGTCAGGGAAAGGATGTCAAAAGTGAACACATGCCCATGGAATCCTAAGAAGGAAACTTTCTCCTGAAAAGCAGATAAAGGAACATTCATTTCAGGGAAGCTACGGTCATCTGTCTGAGGCAGGAGCTGCATTTCTACAGGTGGATTTAAAGAGTGTGTGAGTGCTTCCTGTAGACTCTATGTGAGTCCTGTGGAAGAGAGAGTCAGTTTGAAGCATTTCAGAATCTGGCCAGGACAGCCTGGAGGGACTAGGGAGTCCACAGTGAAGGTGGAAGAGAAGGGGAAGGAAGCTCTAGATTACTGAGGAGATACATCAAGTACCTGACTGGAGAAAAATGAATCTCTGCACCACACAAAGAGTAATCAATGTTCCCAGCTGAGGGTTTTGAGAAATTCATAAACACACCCTCAAAATAGGAGCCGATTGGCTTAACCTAGCAAATTTGGAGAGCCAGCTGCTTTGGGAGCCAGAGGAAATCAATGCAAATATTCAGGCTTCAAAAACGGAAGCAAGTTGAGGATAGAGAGTAGCATCTGGCCAGGGCCTCTTCTGCACAGCAGAAAGCTGACCTGAGAGGGTCTGAGATGGAGGTGAGAGGTAAGTACCTTCACTTAGCATTCCAGAGAGCTTTTAATCATTATTACATGGTATGGCAGAGAGGGGCTGAAAACAGTTAAAATCATTCCTTTTAAAAATCAACTGGCAAGCTCCAGATCTGCTAGACATGGGGCTTGAGAAAACCAAATTGCCAAAGGTCGTTTTCCTGGAAATGCAAAATGTTAATCCATTCACAACCTTAATTAACCCCACATCCTCTCTTTGTGAAGTTGTCGTTTACAACCCCTGCTTGTCATGTATACCCTGGAGACAATTTGTTCTTTGAAAATCTGGTTTTGCTAAATACCACCTTGTAAATGCCAAAGAAAAATGTATAGCCATACAACCCAACCCCCTCCCTTACCTAAACTAACAGATAAAACCCCTCTCCTCTTTCTCCGGGTTGCTCAGTCTTGGAGCATTAACTTGCTGAGTCGCACCAGCACTAATAAACCGCTACTTCCTAAGATAGCCTTGGTGTCACAGTCTCTCTGTTTTCCTGCAACATTTCTTGATGCATTGACTGGGAAAGGAGAGTTTGGAGACAGTGTGTTCCACCTCCTTTGTCATTGGGGTATGACCTCTGGGGCGATGGGTGAGGCAATCTCACCTGGCATGCAACGGACTGTTTGATCCGTAGGAGGGAAGCCCCTACCAGCGCACTGAGGCTCAGACCCCAAAAGCACAACAGGGACCCAAGGAGGTGAGGGACTGGTGTAAGGATGACCACCTGATGGAAAGGACAGGACAACCACCTGATGGAAAGGGTAGGTGCAAGGGCCTTTTCATAGACCTGCCAGTAGATGGCAGAAGGGGAGTTTAATCACCTCCTGGAGTCCACTAATAGTCTTCCACCTCTGAAGGAAAGGGCTGAAAGGCAATGGAAGGAAACACGGTCTAGAGATGAACCCATTGACTCCTAGCATTAGGGTGGAAGGTTGAAGAATGTGCTGTGTGATTGCATGTGAATGAGACAGACAGTGGAAGGGTTCCGCATAGGGTCGGTCTGGCTTGGGGGTTTGTACCAACCTGCCAATTGCTAAGAGGTGTGTAAAATATCTCCAAGAGAAGTATGACTAGAGGAAAATGATACAAATGTTTCCCATACTCCTTGTTCCCTTATTTGGATGTGTCTGCCGTCTTTGAATTTGCTAAAAAAGATGGTTGGTTTATTATGCTTTGTTTAATGGGACATGTCATATTTTAAAAACTTGAATAGTGCGTTTCTTTTATGTCAGTTTATGTTTTCCTAAGTGTTCCTGTCTCCATTTATTTGTGTGGTGTTTCTCCCAACCCATCAACACTCTTAAAATTCCTGTCTTTTGTTGTCAAGGATGTGTGAAAGTTGCCTACCATGTATGTGAAATGCTACCAGTTATCTTGAATTCTTTCCTGGGATCATACCCTCCTCCTTCCCCTGCATTCTCTGTCATGAATTCTGAAGGAGTTCATTCTAATCCACCTGTAAATAAACATAGAAATCTCTCTTGTATGCTGCTTGCCTTTTGTTAACTCAGCACAAGTTGAAGCTAACCTTGAAAAAAATAATTTTGTAATCTAGTAATCTTTCTCTGGCAAATGTTAAAAGCCAGGTTGACTGGAAGTAAGTCTGTTTCTAAAGGTTTAGGTCTTGCCTAAGATCATAATCAATACTTTGCAGGAAATAATGAGGCATGGAAACTGGCATTCCCACCTGATTAAGTCACCTTGCTAAGCTCAGTATTTCTCCTGAGGGACTGGTGAAATACTAGACACAATAAATTACAAGTGTTCAAAGGCAAATTCTAGATTTTCAAGAAACATCAATTTAAAAATGTGTAATAATCTGTACCCTCAGATACCCCAATGGTACAGATTTTAAATAGTTGGAGCAAATTAAAATTATGAGGTTTAAAAAAAAATTAAGCCAGGCTCAGTGGCTCAGCCGGTAATCCTGCGCCTTGGGAGGCTGAGGTGAGTGAATTGCCTTAGCCAGAGGGTTCGAGACCCACCTGGGTAACTTGGCGAGACCTCATCTCTACAATAAATCAAAATGAGCTGGGTGTGGTAGTGCGTGCCTGTAGTTCCAGCTACTTGGAAGGCTGAGGTGGAAGGATCGCCGGAGCCCACCAGGTTGAGGCTGCGGTGGCCAGGAGTGGCCACTGTACTCCAGTCTGGGCAACTGAGTGAGACTCCAACTCAATAAAAAATAAAAAATAAAAAATAAAATTAGTTTGTTATTTAAATTAAATTTGGACTCACTACAAGTTAACAGATAATGAGGTTTGGAAAGAAACAAGACTTTTCTTTAATACTATCTGGCAA